TAAATATATAACAATAATAAAAAGAGAAATAAGACGTATATAGAAAAGTGTATTTTGACTCCCACAAAACGCTAATTCTGTGATACTGTTTGATGTATGTCAACCGTTTGTTTTTTTTCTTATATAAAAATTCAGATATCGTTGATAAAACGGCCAGCTTTGTAGCCAGGAATGGTCCAGAATTTGAATCCAGGATCAGACAGAATGAATTAGGTAATCCAAAATTTAATTTCTTAAATTTTGGTGATCCTTATCATGCTTACTATCAGCACAAAGTGAAAGAGTTTAAGGAAGGAAAAGGTCAGGAACCTACAGTGGGTACAGTTCCTGGGAAAACAATCAATCTTACTGCACATCAAAAGCAGCAGGAAATCCTTAAGCAAGTTGAACAACCGTTTGTACCCAAAGATCCACCGACTGAGTTTGAATTTATTGCAGATCCTCCTTCTATATCTGCTTTGGATTTGTATGTAATAATCTTTACATATAGATAATTGATATTTTACATTCTATTAAAATAAGTAAAACTTATTTTTCAGAGATATTGTGAAGCTAACTGCTCAGTTTGTTGCACGTAATGGGAGACAGTTTTTGACTAATTTAATGAATCGCGAGCAAAGAAATTTTCAGTTTGATTTCCTACGACCTCAGCATTCTTTATTTCAGTACTTTACTAAACTTTTAGAACAGTACACCAAGGTAAACAAATAGCAATAACTTTGTTTTAGGAATATGAATTTATTTATAGAATCAAAAAATTTTCAAAAATATTTTAGCATGCATTTTGTAGAATCAGATATGTATAAAATTTACATAGAAATATTTAAGCACTAAGAATTGCTTTGTGACCAAATATAGAAATTTCTCTTATTTGCAAAATTGGCAATTTAATACATTTTCTATAGGTATTGATTCCACCAAAAGATTTGTTGCCGCGTCTCAAGGATGAAGCATTCAATATGGATAAGATTTTAGAGCAAGTAAAATATCGTGCCGAATATTTAAAATATCAAGAAGCACAGAGACGTAAAGAGGAGGAGGAACTAGAAAGAGAAAGAGTAGCTTATGCACAAATTGACTGGCATGATTTTGTCGTGGTTGAAACTGTAGACTATCAACAATTTGAAGTAGGTAATTTTCCAGCGCCTACGACACCGGATGAAGTCGGCGCACGCGTCCTTATGCAGGTTAGATTATGGCTTTCTGTATTATTAAAATTTTTTACTTTGTTGGTTGAGATTCTAAATGCTGAATCATATAGCAATTGTAAGTTAAATATATGATTAAAAATATTTGTAGGAACGTATAGAAGATGGTGAGGATGTGGAGATGCAAATCGATAGTGATGCAGATGAGGAAACGCAGACCCGTGTAGAAAACGAGAAAGGCGATCGTGCAAAAGATAATAATCAAGTAAGTTTAATTCATTATCATATACAATATGAATTCGCTTTAATGTAAATATTTATACTGTATTATAATTTAATATTTTAGGTACAAGATATGGAGGAAGATTCTAGTGATGAGGATGATGTGTCTCCACCAGGTGATACTCACAAATCTAAAGAACCCAAAACGCGAGAAACGAATATGCAACCGCCTCCATTACCACCGACACCAGGAAATGTGGTAGTTAAAAAGGGATATGATCCGAAACAACATGGTAAGCATATTCTCCTCTAATCATTAGTTAAAATTTTTAGTTACTCTAAGGTTACATTAAGATTTTACTTTCAATACTTTTTTTAATAGCAACTAAAACTACTCGTCCCGCGGCACCGGATGAATACCTCATTTCGCCTATTACTGGTGAACGTATTCCTGCTAGTAAAGTGCAAGAACATATGCGTATCGGATTGTTAGATCCACGCTGGGTTGAACAGAGAGACAAACATCTAGATAAACTGGCACAGGAGACCGTATTTGCACCAGGCACAGCAATCGAGGCAAGTCTCAAACAACTCGCCGAGAGACGTACTGATATTTTTGGTGTTGGTGACGAAGAAACTGCTATTGGAAAGAAAATCGGCGAAGAAGATAAAAAGAAGGATGATAAAGTCACATGGGACGGTCATACTTCTAGTGTGGAAGCAGCGACAAGAGCTGCACGAGCTAACATTACATTAGAAGAACAGATTCATCAAATTCATAAGGTCAAGGGTCTTCTGCCTGACGAGGAAAAAGAGAAGATTGGCCCGAAACCAGTTAATCGTGCGACTGAACTCTCTCATATGGCTGCTGCTGCTTCGAAACCCCAAGCTACATTGAAAGCACCTCCAAAGCCACCTGCACCGAAGCCTATACCAGTACCTGCTCAACCTCCTCCACCACCAACAATGAGTATGCCTACTATGGGTATACCTCAGCCGATGATGCCGCAACCACCGATGATGATGATGGCACCTATGCCACCCATGGCGCCCAGACCACCACCTCTAATGAGTATGAAATTTGTTCATATATTTCGACAAAAAAATATACATATTATATTTTTACATATAAAGCTAATCTTAATAAAATAAATCTGTTACAGCTCCAGCAATGTCACCATTCATGCCAACGCCACCGCCAATACAGCCACCGATGACATCTACTGTAAGTAATTTGGAATAAAATACAATTGTATGAATTATTTATTATATTATATTTTAATCCTCCTATGTGTGTGGTAAGGTAAATTTTCAAGATCTCGAGAAAAGTAGAATTGGATCCGAATATTTCTGAATTGATGTTGTTTTGTTTATATCTAATGATCTAATCAATATAACGGGTAAATGGGTAAAAAGAAGTCAATAATATGCATTATGAAACTTTAATACTCTATTAAATAATGTATGGGCTCTATGAAAAGAAGCCGGTGGTCGTATCCCCTTATCATGGGGAAGGATTAAGATTTAATTTATTTTAATTTTTTTTTTTAAAGATTGGATTAAAGCATCCTGTTAGTAAACCACTGGAAGAGGAGCCTGTGGCTAAGAAATTGAGAACAGAGGATTCATTAATTCCGGAGCAACAATTCCTTGCTAGAAATAAGGTGAAAAGATTAATGTTTATTAATTTATCGAAGTTTCAGTGATGAATTTCTAAAAAAAATATATAATCTTTTTTTAGGATCCCGTACAAATTAACATTGCTGTACCTATGATAACGGAGAAGGCTGAATGGAAATTAAATGGACAGACATTGAACATTACCTTACAAATAAGCGATACTGTAGCAACTATGAAAGCGCTTATTCACGAGCAAATTGGTATGCCACCTGGAAAACAAAAGTTGCAGTATGAGGTAATGATCATTGATAATTTTTTTTGTATGTAGACGAATTACCAATAAATATAATTTTCTGTAAATATAATTTTCTACTTCCAGGGAATGTTCTTCAAAGATAACAATACTCTTGCGTATTATAACTTAACTTCAGGTAATGTTATTAACCTGCTACCAAAGGAGAGAGGTGGTAGGAAAAAGTAAGAGAGATTACATAAAAAGGTGAATATATAAATTAAGAATATAAAATTATTATAATTATGACATAGTGTATCAATGCCTTAAGAATTGTATTGCTTTAATCATTTTAAGATAATATCAAAATATATATTGCATTTATTCAAGCTCAGTCTAACAATATATATAACAATAAAAATTTATAATTTAATAAATATTACATTAAATATTTTTTATTGTTATTTAATCTTGAGTTCTTTTGCATTGTATTAATGTAATGTTTGTGTAATATTATGGTTTTATATTTACTTTGAATTTGTGTGTGTGGCTGACATGTTGCATGTCAATATATCTTGTAAATTACTAAAATTACAAAATGACAGTAGTAATTGCTATAATTTATAAATTATTTCAAGATGTTTCATAGATACATCTTTCTCTCACTTTATATATTAAAATAATCGTTTTATTTTTAATCTTTAAAAATGCATATTTACAACGTTAATTAAAGCTGCGAATAAGAGCATTTTTTACACATTCGTTCAAAATATACAAAAGGTCCTTACCCATATATGAAATGCTTTTTTTTTTAATACAAAAAGGTACATTATATAAATTTAAATATTCTAAATAATTTGAAAATATATATAGAAAAATGTTCTCCAAAAGTACAGATCTGTTTTGTGTTTACTTCGAGTAACATCATATATAAGAGGCCTCTTTAGAACATTTTGTTACATATAAGATTTATATACGCTTTTGTTCACTCCGTTTCTTTAATATCTTTTCTATTATTTTGCGATAACGTATGGTCATAGGCTTGTAAATCTAAAAATATCAATAAATGATCAATTATGATAATAAATATTCAAAAAATCGCTTTACTTACCGATTCGGCATCATCATAAGGCTGACATACCAGCGTCAATTCTGGCAAGCAGCGTATAATTTCATCGAAGCTACAATTATTTTGCAATAAGCCATGTTTTGCTTGATACGCTGCACCTATCATAGCTGAATTAGCTGCTTCCTATCAAACAAAATTATACCAATATAAAGTATCGTCGTGTATATATTAAATATGAATAATATAATAATATATAATGAGGATTAGTATAATAATATATTTACCGAAATGTACACTGGCGAATTGAATACGTCGGAAAGTACTTGCAATATAGCTTTATTTATAGATGCACCTCCCGTTGCAATTATCCGAGTATTACGTCCTTCATAAAAAGAAAACTTATCAGAGAAGTTTTTGAAAAATAAAACCGTAAAAGAGAAGCTTGCAGAAAATTACTTGCCAATGACAAATCCAAAGTCTTCAGCGTACGCTCTCTTTGCAACAAATTGACCCTCGATTAACGCTCTCACTTCTACTTCCTTCGAACTGTATCGAGAGATCTCGTCATTGGCTTTGTTGTATCTATAATCACCTATGACGAAAGGTAAGATCTCTTGCGTATCGTAATATAAGGCAAAATTCCCGAAGTTTCCTCGCGGTGTACTTTCTAATAATTCATTGAATATCTGCCAACTACCTTGCGCAGCATCATCTCGTATTCTTTCGCGCGTCAAAGAACCGTTTTTGAAACTGCAATACAAAATTATTTTTTATATTATAAAATAATCGTAATATAAAAGATACTTACCAAAGTAACGCCATATAGGCCTGATCGTCTACTGGATTGCATAGTATGTGACCATTCGTTACAGTTTTAGGTTTGTTCAACCATAAAACCAAGGTATCACTTGTGCCCAAACTGCAAGTGATATCACCTTCTTTCAGCCTCATACCTACGTATCATTCTTATTGTGAATACAAAGGATATTCTAAAGTTGTTATTCGTATTAACAAAATCGTGGTTGAGTGTAGAGGTAATACATACCTATTAAGGAGCCAGGGTTGTCTCCGGTGAACGCGATTATCCTACATTTCTCATTGAAACTAAATCTTTCCACAAAATAAGGTGATATAGGCCCGATATCGCTATACGATGAAACAGGATTACCTAGTTTCTCTCTCAATCCTGATGCGCAAGTCTATAATATAATAAATATATGTACATTAAGTATACAACGAAATTACACAACATACTGTACATAATGCCATTTTACCTCCAACAACATATCATCCCAGTCTTTAGTACGGATATTTAACAGATTCATACCCGAGCCATCCGACCAATCGATAGGTGCGTAATCGCCCAGAAACAAGGAGGCAATAAAATTACTCACCAACGAGATCCTCTAGAAAAAGAGAAAAAAGAACGGGTCATATATAAATAATAACACATTCGCCTTAGACGCGTTTTAGAAGCGGCACAAAGCGTATTACGCATAGTTTCGATCATCGTGATATAATTAGAGGTGTCAAATCACACGGTGATTAAATTTTTATTTCCGTCAAGCGAATAAAAGGAAATAAAAACATAATGCGAGTTAAACCAACAGCGAGTTAATGCAAATTCGATGTTATGCATTAATACTTTGTAAAACTAACACATTCATGAGATATATATAAGCAATAAACAATTGTATAATAAAGTTCAATCAATTCAATCAATGTAGTCGTACGTAACGAATACCTCGGTTGGATTGCCGTTTTCATTTTTTTGAAGGAAGCCACAAGTTTTTAGTAGGTAATACCTCAGTGCTGCAGTAGGCTTCCGGCTTCGTGCGTGCTATTTTTGCTATCTGCGGTCCTGAGAATCTCTCGTATGCCCGTGAACCCGTTATTTCCGCTAATTTCTGAAATCACAGTATCGTATAGATATACGTTGTCGGTTCGTGTGTATACCAGTGTATACTAAATCTAAGCCGGTTACTTCAAAATATTTAGCCAATTTGTTCTCGTATAATTACAACTGTAAGTCATTTAGAAAATTTTACATCGCGAAAATTAATTCCTGTGAAAGCTAACGTTAGCGAATAAATGTGCATTGTATAAACTTTTATATAAACTTTAACGTAGACTAGATATTTTGGTGTATATTTTTGCATACGTATTTTTTACGGACATTTAATCTGTTAAATATCCGTTAAATTTACATTGTATAATCCATCATTATTATATGCAGGCAAGTGAGTGAGAATAATGCTTACTTGAGGACCACCCACGATCTCCTCTAGAACGCTACACTCTTTTGACGTACTAGAATCCATCCATATGGGTGAATGAGTCACGGAAAACGACGTAGCGAATTGTTCGTGTAAAAATTTTATCGGGTCTAAATGTTGTAACCGGTTCCGGCTACCTTTGCTCCAATAGACTGTACCATGTTGCTGTTCATACCATTAAAATGTACGAATAAACATACTTTATGTTTATCTCTACGGCATTTCTAAAATAATGGATTTTGTTTTGAATACGGCCATGTTACCTGTGCACAACCAGAAATGGCTGCTACTTTGCTAAAGTCAACGCCACAGACGCGTAATTTGTCTAGTATCATGTCTAAAGCCTTAACCCACATCAAAGAAGGCACCACTACAACATGTGACTCTTCCTTCTTCCGTATAACCCCTCCGTAAGTTCTGCAACGTTAGAATATACTCTTGTTATATAAACTTAATGTATATCATTGAATACTACAAGTGTTTTCTGACATTTTTCATTCGCTAGTGTATATCTTGATAGATGTACAGCGATAACCATTGTTATCATATCATCCATCGTGTAATATAGAATAAAAGAATAGAAATTTTGTTTACTTCAGCATTTACAAGCCAAAAAGGAGACTTGGTTTACAGTTTTTCTTTAATTTATTCATCCATCCATCCATCCATCGTGTAGTGTATATTATGTGTTATATATATATATATGTATGTATATTAATAATTTTTAATCATTTTAATTTGTTCAATAGAATCGTTCAATGAAAAGAGCAGCTAATTCGACTAACAAGACAATACACAAAATAACACTCTTATATTTAGAGATTTTTTTAGTCATACCTAAATTCTGGTAAATCATTGTCGAATTGCACGCTAGTTTCGTGAAGAATGGCTAGATTGTCATCGACTACCACTGCCTTCAACTGAAATCAAATCAATCAATTAGTCTGAATACGGATATGATTAATGTGATTTTTCGAATAGTTTCTACGTGATACGTTCGGATAAACAGCAATAATATCGATGATGGTATTAAATAATTGAATATAATAATTGATTTAATTATTTCTCAATTTAACGTTCGAGAAACTATAATTTATTTACTATTCGTCATGAGTTACGATTGTAAATATATATGTATATGCGCGCGCGCACACGCACTCACACACACACACACACACACACACACACACAGTAAGAAGTTATAATATTTATTAAAAGATTTAGTCTATACTCTCTGATTATGCATATACATCAATTAATTATAATGTTGCGCTAGAAATCTTTACAAATACATTGTATGTAGTTCAACTATGCTATATACAGTGCTACAATAAAACTATTTATCACAACTCAACGCTTGTATCCCGCGGTGTGCGAATTTTTACGTCGTAAAATAATCGTCCTGCGATGTTAATTATCAGCCATAATATTTCTATTTCGTCACATTTTTATCGTTTCGCCAATTATGTTTTTCTTCCATGCTCGTTTAATCTGCCAACAGACTCGTTTTATCATGCTATTAGATAATAGTGACCCTCCTGAAGACGTCAGAGCGCCTCGCGACTCCTCTTTTGACTTGATCGCATGTTTCCTGCGTAGAATACCTTACGAAACAGCTAGCTGTCGTATTGACATACTTTTAAGACTGCCTTACGCGGGCGTCGCGCCGAGTAAACCCTAGAGCCTCCCGGGTCATCTTTATTCGACGCTAATGAAACTCGTAAACACACTCATCCTAAGGTTATCACTCGCGAAGTGAATGGGGGCATTGATGACGAAGAATGATTAATAATTGAATTGCTTGGCGATTAACAGAAGAATTTAAGAAATCGAATTAAAAGCGGATGGACACTGCTCTAAGATATATATAGAAAGTTCCAAAAAGATGCTCATGCTTAAATTACGTTTATGTGGATTTCAGGTAATTATAAATAATTAGCGCGTTTTAAAGCCGTCGCGCTTTTGTTATTTTTTCCCAGGAA